TCAGAGTTTCCCAGGTTCAGCAGAGAAGGTTGCAGGTGATGCTAATCGAACTCGCGGAGTCCAGATCTTCTGATCAGTCGTCAAATGGAACATACACTTACTGCAGACTGATCATCTGATGTTGTTCAATTAGATATCTGGAGCGACCTGGATATTCCGCACAAGTGAAAATTGACACGCCAACCTTGGAAATGGTGATACTTGATAAGCAGGCCAAGTTGGGGTGATTTTGCGGACAAAGCGGGGATGATGTCACAGCCACCAGAGCGGCGATGTGATTGTTTACAGTTTACCTAGTGTGTTAGTGATACATGCATATGGGAAGAGATAATGAGTATTAAGGAAGAGTTTTAGTCTCTCCTTTTCTTTTCCTCTCGTGACAGTCTATTAGGACAAGAACAGAACCACGCTGAGTTCGATCCTGATATCTCATCACAAAAATACAGATGCTAGGTATGGGGATATCCCGAGGACATGCGGTTCATCATTAAGTCGACAGTAGCAGAAACAGACCAATTTTCATATCAATGATACAGATCCCAGTTTGTACATCGTTTCTTGACCCTCATATCTCCAGTGTTAGGGCCGTTATCGCGGATCAACGCGATCGACTCGTTCCATCAAAAGACCTGATTCTCAGGTCAAGCCATCTCATGATCAAGTATCGAAGCGCCATTGCCAGCTTAAGCAGCACCATATGTATCCGTCACAGGAATAGTAAAGTTCCTCATAGTAGAGGTGACGTTGGCCGAACCCTCGGCGTAGAATTCGGCTCCAGGTTTGAACCAAGCGTGCATGACCTCGATCTTCCATCCGCGAGACTTCAAAGCTGTTAGTTTAGCTTTGATGTGTTTGTCTCTGCAAAAGGTGTAGTCTGTCTCCACATCGGTGCCGTTGCACGTAGTGTTGAACCCGGGAGTGTTTGGAGTAGCGATACCGAGAATATCGAATCGATAGTCACAGCCCTCTGGAGAGCAGCCGGTATAAAAGTTGGAGACATGCCAGGTCAGGGCAGGGCTCACGGTGAGATAGTGATAGTGATAGGTGGGAGCCGCAAAGGTTATGTCGAAGATCGACAGGAGCGCGACTAGCAGGAACGTAGCAAACTGCATGTTGACGTGGTTGATCGCGGTATGAAATTATAGATAGAATAAAGGTGACTGAGGAATATATATGCGCAAGAGATATATACACCGGCAAGACAGATGATAAGTATTAGATTAAGTCAACAGAAAGCCCGCGACCCATCGAGGACTTTATTATGAAGAATGAATGAAGAGTGAAAGAAGAGGAAGAAGGGCGCTGAAGTGACGAGGACGTGATCGAGAATGTCTGCGACTCATATATAGCCAAACAAGTTCTAGGGCAGGCAAGCATGGGAGAGACCTGCTTCTGGCCTGCAGGTACGGGTGGAGCAGACTTTCCAGCGTCCTCAATTTGTCACAATTAGAATCAAAAACATCATAATGACCATGCACCCTTGTGGCCCTGTGCCTAGGTTTCCAACCGCGGATGTCGATCTCCTGCAAATATGTGAGGTGCGCGAAGCTGTGTCACTGGGTGTCTCGTCAGGTTTCTAATTATAATCAGCAAGAGAACCCGCGTCGCAGGTGCAACCAAGTACCGAAAACCAAAGAGACCAATGTCTGCCGTGCGATGAATCAATTGCAACCCATTGTCGTCTCAAGATCTGAGCCTCAGACGATGAACTGACTTGACTGGCTTAGTCCGACGATCGCAAACCGAGGATCCATGCATAGTTCGGCACTGTCTCAGTCCAGTGTTTGAGATGTTCCTCCGCCCCCCCTGAATAGCTCCTGGGACACTTACTCCGTAGAGCATGAACTATGAAGGACTGCTGCAGTGAACCATAGTTCAAAACGTCGACTAAGGTTCGATCACAAGGATATCAGTTCTCGGAGCTTATGTTGGCCTGCACTGCTCCCTGACACCAGTCTTGTATCCAGTGTCGCATTGGGTCGTTGCCTGCATAATTTCACAAGGGATCAGCATCATTCATAATAGCTATCGCGATCGAACCAGCGACCATGTTGAGCGACTCCTGAATGTGCCTCATATCTATCCTCTGAGTTCGCTCCTGTTGATCATTGTGAGACGTTCGACTAGGAGTTCGAAGTTCGAACCAAAGTTTGGGTGTTTGACCACCGATTCTTGGCTTCAACAAGGGTTAATGCACTGGGGGTTTCATTAAATGTTTAGGCCATCTCGTTGATGTCCATTGTGTCTCACTCAGACTCAAGCAGTACTACTCCACACAACCACAACTAGTCATGGCTAAAATATCTGATGGTTGAACACCATGAAGCGATCTTGAGCAACCGTTGGGGCCGTCACCGACTCGCTGGCAAGTGACAAATCTGCTACTCAGACAATTCCAGTGGTGGTATCATTTTTCATTTCCTCGTATTCCACGGGTATACAACTGTACTATACAAGGTATAAATTGCGATACGTATACAACTGGACGAGCAGGGTGCCTTTTTCAGCCCCTCGTCTCCAAATTTAGCTGGTTCGCGTCTCATCAGGCTTCAACTGATCTTCCGGCACCAGGCCCCCTGGCTCATAGTCCAACCAGCCCTCCTCATCTTGGGCCCTGGCCATCGCCAAGCGTCTTCGCTTCCTCTTTCGTCTCTCCTTGCTCGCCGCTCGACGGGCTTCCTTGGAGAGAAGCACCCGCATGGGAGGCTCCCGCATGCGACGCTCCGAGCGGTCTGCATATCTTGGGGGCGTCTCGGACCCTATCTTTCTGATAGAAAAAGACTGATCTGAAGCTCCTTCACTGGGCTCAATCAGATCGTCGGCTGAGTCATCCTGCATCTGCGGATCGTTTCTCAACTGAATCGCAAATTGATCGTTGGACTCGGAGCATACGCTCTTGATCTGTTGGCGCGTGTATGCATCGGGACGGAAATCCCGCGCGACCAAATCCTGGTAGTACCTGTAAGCCGATTCAAAATTGCCAGCATCTAAGCACATCATGATCAGGTGCTCAAAAGTTTTGTCGTTTGGGATCACTCCAAGCGAGGACATCTCCTTTACCGCAAACATGCCGGCTTGAATGTTCTTTGCTCTGCGCGCCATCCCTATAAGGGTGTTGTAGATCGAAACGTCGGCCTTGCCTGGACACAAAGTATAGAGCTCCTGATAGAGCGAGATCCCTTCATCGACCGCAAATGGGTCATTAAAGGATTCATAGTCACAAAGCTCGATGATCACATGCGCGCATTCCATCGGAATCGGGTATTTCAAGGATTTCAGCTTCTTGAGAATAGCCCATGCCTGCCGTGGACTAGTCCTCGTCTGAACCATGTAGTTGAAAATGGCCCGCGTCGAAGTGTGTTCCAATTTGATACCGGCTTTGTGCATCTTACAGAGAATCTCGAATGCCGATGAGAGCTTGCCAGAATTGACATGCGCCTCTACGGTCTTCTCGTAATCCTGCAAGATCAGAGCGACATCACTTTCCGAAAGAAATCGGATAACTAAAGAAGCGAGCTTAGTGTCGCCCTTTTCGGCCGCGACCGTCAAAGTGTCCCTACACAGGACCTTCGAAGGATGGAGATACCCCAGTTGTACCATTTGCGTCCATATGTATCGGGTAATTTCGAGATGAGATGCCGCGACTGCCACATCCAACACATACAGCCACAGTTCCGTCGTCATGTCATGACCCTGACTTGTCCGCTTGCGCATTTGCCGGAGGACTTCGTCGAAATCCTGAATGTCGCAGAGGCTGTATATCAACAGACTGTGTAGCCAATTCTCGACCATAATTTCCTTCCGCTCCATGTTCGCGATATGGTCTAGTGCGAGTTCGAATTGGTTCTCTCTCAAGAGGCCGGCCACCACGTAGTGCCAACCAGCGGGACTAAGAGGCAGCCATCGATCTCGGAGGGTGCGCAGTATTTCTTGACGCAGTAGATAGTCAGGATGAACAGCGAGAACCTATGATGATTGTCCGTGTAAGTCAAGTAACCCTTACTCGTAGAGCTATGCCGTTAGACACAATGAGATGCCATACCTGCAACGCAGCATGAAGTGTACCAGAATCTGCAGGTATCCCATTTTTCTCCATCTCCAAGAGTAATTGGCGAACAACATCTGGCGAGCCACGCTCCGCATCGGAGTTGGCAAGAATCAGCGCTCGGTAGTGTCGTACTTCGGGGCGCACATGGCGATCTCTGATCAATATTCGTAATATCTGCGACGCGCTGAGGATCTTAGGACTTCCAGTTGCTAGTTCTTGAAGTCGATTCTCAAGGTCCGGCGTTGACCGCTCTTCGAGATTTTTGGGTACACCGGGAGACGGAGGTAGTGTGATGCTGGGGCTCAGAGGCGGACTGACGTGTTCCCGGCGCTCAGAATTCAATCGAGATCGTTGGGAAGACTGCTGTGCTATAGAGGACCCGCTGTGGTCATCCCCCTGGCTCTCAGTGCCTTTTTGCGCCTTTGGCTCCTCACTAACTTTTGTAGCATCGCTGTTCAGACATCTTCGCGGCGTAGTGCCGAATGCCGATGAGAAATCATGCCTTTGTGGCTTTTTCCCTCTCGTGAATGGCAGCCTAATATGTGAAGCACTGATCCGAAATGATGGACATAGACAATACCAGAGTCCATCGAGAATGACCGTACTTCGGCGCATCTCGAGCCCATGCAAAGCGAAATTGTCTAGGCGCATCGGGAAGCCGAAGAAGAGATGCATACTCACGTGACTTGTGACAACGTCAGAGAAATACCCATAACCAGAATAGATGCGGAATATATTGATAAATTTTTATACTTTACGGACAGAATTTAGTGGACGACCATGTTCAAGAGCAGTAATCCCATTGAAGAAAAAAAGAGACACCGAGCCAGATACGCCAAGGCCATGCTCGACAAACCAACCAACCGGTCTTTCGTAGCAATTTACATGCTTGATCTCCCCCGGGTATCCATCATTCTCTGTTCGTCTCGTTATGCGCATACCATACCCTCATCTAACTGCCACCACGACCCCGGCCGCGACCTCGCCCGCCACGGCCACCACCACGGCCTCTATCGCCCCTGCCCTCACGGCCACCACGGTTGCGATTCTGCGGCTGGCTTTGCTGCTGTTCCTTGACCATCTCCACAATTTCCTCCGGGATTCGCAAGTATTTGATCTAAACGCTCGTTAGCTCAGAACGAGAGCACGTCGAGTGTAGCATGTAGGTAACGCACATTATTTCCTCGCACGTAGACCTCTGGTAATCTGAAGAAGCGGTCGCCTTCGGGGCTAGTCTGAACAACCTCCTTGAGTATTAAGTTCATCCAGTTATCGCAGTTGGCAAGATGTCCGTTCAGCGTCTCGCCATTCTTGAGCTCCACAAGCATGGGGTGGCCTTGGGCGGCCGTCAGAAGACCCAATGGTAACTATGAGGTGCGCGATATCTTAGCGACACGAGCTGTAAAATTGCATAGAGTAATAGCCATGTTCCCTGGGGGAGTTTACTCACCATTGTGAGGGTGGGCAGGTGTGTTGAGGGATAGGCTGGCTGGGATTAAGCTTTAAGGCGGCACGGAGAGCGCCTGTCCTGGTCAATGAAATAAGAAAAGGGTAATTTGAAAAGACAGTCAATAAGATTCGTGATATAGGATCAGGACTTAAGAGAGAAATTATATGATATGTCCAAGGATATCAAATAAGCTCCACATGAGCTTCCAGCGGCGGGTGGTCGCAACTGCAAAGACCCGGAGAAAGTGAAGTTCCGAGATTCGCGATTGAGCATGACCGATGGAGGCTCGTATTGTTATTATTGCCATTCTTGACCCTCTTCCATCCCACCCACTGTATCTTCGATGGCTCATTCATAATCGCTCAGCAGAAACGAATAGTATAGTTGACCGGCGCGCTCTGTACACCGCAAGGTAACAGATCCTGGAAACACCTTTGGCCTCCAATCAGCGGCTTCGGATGAACTCGTGCAATTGCAAGTAGATACGATCACATACATTTGTGTAGAACGACGAATCTCAAGTCCTCAATTGGTAAAATACATAGACAGGACGTTGCGCAGTTTCTCAAGACCAACTGCACCGTCAAGATATTGTCATACGCCTCTACACTTTTGTTCGTTTGGCCGTATCTGACTCCTCAACCTCGTCCTCCTCGTCCTCCACCGTGAACTTTCGCTTGACCCGTTGATCTCTGCTAGTCCCGCTGGGTCCAGCGCTCGCATCATCTGAAATTTCGGCACCTGGAGACTGTTCTTTCCCCCTGGCCTTGAGTTTCTCTTCACGCTCAGTGAATTCTTTCAAAAGAACTTCGTAGCCTTCTTCAACATTTGACACTGTCTCCTCGAGTTTCTGGATGCGCTCATCAAGATCCAGCTGGATCAGGATGTCCTTGGATCGTTTGTACAGGCGCTGCTTGGTGAGCATGCGCCACCAGTAGTAGCGCCGTTCGTTAGGATCCTCCGCCCTGTGCTTCCTAATCAGGAGCCGCGACATGTTGGCTCCGCCGGCATGTCTATTTTTGAGAGGGATTTGACTCAACAGGAACATTTCGAGAATGTGAGCAAACTGTGTAGAATCAATCTTGTATGATGTACGAATGTCACGGAGGAGTTTGACTGGAATGAGGGCGGCCGTAGGAACACGTCGTGGTCGTTGGTTTCTTGATTGCGCCTCGTAGGGATCGGGGTTGATATTCACCTCGTGCTTGATGAATTCAGGACTCAGTATGTGGTAGTCCGCAGAGTCGCGGAGAACATCAAAGGCTTCGTTCGGATCTTCGACGGTCAATTCAACAACAGTGGGGTCCTGTACGCATGCCGAATGGATGGTGCTATACAAGTGCCTGCCATGTCCTGATTTCTGATGAGGAGGGAGGATGAGGAACTGGGCGATACGCAGCCGCGATGGGAGCTGCGCAGGATGAATTTCCGGTCCAGAGGGAAAGGGATCGTTCTTGACAATGGGGACTTGTGTCTTGTCCCTACGGTAATGCCACCAGCGATAGGTTGTCGCATATCCGACGATGGAGTATTCGGAAGCAGTGGGTGTTGGGGGTTTCACTTTCTCGTATCTGTAGGAGACTCATCAGCGGCCGTAATGGGTCATCACGTCATGGGACAGTAGATCCACATACACGAAGTAGACAGTCCATCTTTGCAGCGTCCACTCAGGATCATCTGTGGCAAGAGGGGTGCCTGCCTCGATGAAGAGCGACACGAAGATTTGGGCACGATCCAGCAACCGTCGAACATTAAGGTCAGCCAGTGAGCCGGCCCAGATCTCATAGTTTCTATTCCGAGAAACATAGCTGTGTACCAACTTGCCCGGGGGTTTGAAATCTTTCGCGTCTGTATCCTCTAGCACGGCTTTTTCGTAGTCGGGGAGGGTGACAAAGGCCTCTACAAGTTGATGTCTTCATTAGAAAGAAACGGAGCAATATTAGTGGGTGATACCAACCTTCTGAGATCCATGGTCTCAAAGTTTTTAGAATATCGACTGCCGCAATGTCTTCAACGGGCTTGAATTTCTCATCGTACGAGGTGTGAAGGTGCGGTCGGAGGTCATGCGCCGCGAACCGTAGACGGATAATCAAGCCCTTGTAACCGAAGATGGTCTCATCATCGCCGAAGATGGGGTATGTAAATTGAGGGTGAAAGCTAGAGACAGTCTTCAGCTTCTGTTCGTCGGGTTGGACTATTGTGATGCTGACGGCGTCGTTCGCATCGCACGTCCCTGGAAGAATGCATTTCACGATCAGCTGGATCCAGGACAGTGAGGAAAAGAGTTGACGTGGAATGGTGGGAAAATACAGTCGCCTTCGTTTTCCATACTGAGACGCTATGGACGGATGACAGGAAATGTTACGGCAACAGTGAGGAAGACCTGAGCTGAAGATAGTTTCTCGTCCTTTCTCGGCGCGTGTTGGGGATAACCGCGTTGCGCGGAGAGCTTAGCAGGTATATCCTTTCTAGGATTAGCGCCATCGAGAGCTGTTGCTTAGTTACCCGTCCATCTACGGGGTAGTTATTATGAGGCTGCAGTTAGATGCTTTGATTGATAGATTTTCGAACGGCACTTCTTATTGATAATATTCAATTCCGTCAATTCAGCTAATTGAGAATTGCTTCCGTAGGTAATGTATGATGACCCACTGTCTTATAAGTTGCTCAGGTATCCTCGCTCAAGGCTGTGTTTATGGCAACGAGAACAATGCCTCCTCCTCAAACGTCAAATTGAGAGGTAATATCGCGACAGATTTCTCGCGACGGATTTCCGAGCTTCTTTGGCCAGTGAATCAGCTGCCGCATTTCCCGGGACGCTGTTAGGCCATATTTTGTACACCACAGCAGCCGCAGCAGAGATTCTTTTGGTTGGATCAGCTGAAGTCCAAGGATGAGTCCTTGCAAAGGAGCTGTCCACCCAGAAAACACATGAGTCCTGAAAATATCGCGCAGATCGCAGCTTAAATGCTAATAGCGCATACTCTCGGGCGTATCCGCGCTCCTGTATCATGATATCCCCGCGAAAACTGCAATACAAGGGGACATACGGTTGGAGTCCTTCGCCGTCTGGATGCGGACGACGAGACTGTGAAGCTCCTTCGGGAAACGTTCAGGGACCTTCCATCAGATGGTAGAGTTAACCTTGCCGAGGATATCATTCAGGCTGGGGCGGGCAATAAGTTGCACCAACTTGCCCAGAGTATCGTCTCAGGCCTTCTCAAACCGATGATGGTTGCCGGTACCAAGAAGGTGCAGATACCTCGGATGGGCAACAGCGCTAATCTCCCAAGATTGACACCGAATGAATGGACCGGAAGCCGTCATCTGACTGACCAAGTGAGAGACAGGTAGAATTATTGCGCGTTGAAGGTGCGTCCTGCGATACTCGGGTTAGCAAGCTATTCTACACGATACTCCACGTTGCACTGAGCAGCCATATGTATGCCTTTATCCCGTGCCGAGCTAACTGGGACAATAATCCTTTCTTAATTGCGTCGATTAATTTTCTCTAACTCTTCTCGGTCTGCCAATCTACTCATATGCTATGGTCAGTGGCCAATTATTCAAGTCACATAGAAGACTTGCTTCTTGTCTTAGGTAGACTCAATTGCATCAGTAGGAGAGGCAACATAACAACAGCATAAATGTGTTGGACCAAGTTCTTCTGCGAAATGCCAACAAGATTACTCTCATCTTTAGAAATCAGCTAAACTCTTTCATTCACCATACTAAATACAAACCAGTGCATTTCAATCAGAAACATGGCAGCGACAACAGCAGAGTCAATTGCCTTGATCAGCATGAGCACTGCTGGCATGTGAATTGCCCTGCTCTTCATCTCGCAGGGAGAACATGATTGTGAATTTCTTCGACACCAGACCAGACCATCATCCAAGAGCAAGGCCCTGAGAATCTTGCATTATTCACTTTCTATGCTGAGTTGCAAGCCTGCAACTCAACCCACTCCAGCGCCGCGGATCTCTCACATCTTCCCCATCTCCAAGTCACCAGTTGGTTCGTCCTCAGTTCATGGACCTACCCTGGCGCCTAATTTGAACCGCGCTCATTCTCTATGTACATCCTTCCTTCCTTTTCTCTCCATGCTTAGTATTCTTATAGAATGCTACCATATCTTTCTTAACTTGCGAAGCAACTGTCATATCACACAGTAAACCTGAGCAATGAGAGAAGTTTAAAAAGAATTACAGAGCCTTACATCTGAAAATAAGGAGCAAGCATCTCTATCTTATAATAGAAATATGACTGGAAGTTACTCTCTCCTGACAAGATGAGGATCTTGTGATTATAGGCGACGCAGATTACTCATTTTAGTACAGTGATCCGAGTGATATCAGTATGAATTTAGTGGTCTGTGAGGCAAAACACAAAGGGGATGGGCTGGGGGTCAACATCAGTTACTTAGCTACATGGGTAGGTAATCTTCTCATATTTAGGGAATTCTTGTTACTAATGCATATTATTAAACCATCATTTATACCATGCATGGTTATGGACCTCCCGCCTGGACAGGGCAGCGGCCCCTGTCTAGCAGCAAGTAGACATGGGTCAGGAGCTTTTTCCACTGATATTAGGGGTAATTGGAGTCTGAGGATCCTGATGATGACAAGTCACTAGTGGCCATGACCCTAAAAAGAAGGACTTTGTTCGTCCCTATCTGCATCTCTTGGATCCAAAAAGTCTCTCCACAAGCCACCACTCTGTTGTACCTTTGCGGCTGTGGATAACTGTCAAAAGGTTACACCACCATAATGCAATCCCTAGACAAGGACTACATCATCTAGACAGTCAAGGGGTATTGGATTCTGATAGAAGATGGCTGGTGAAAGAATCATAACGTCCAGTCCGGACCCAAGCAACTTTAATATGACTGCGACGACATCAAAAATAGATACTGTCAATCTCACAGAGATGCCAGCCGACGTTCAGGCCACGTTGAAGGGCTACCTGCCATTAGGCGAATGACAAAGGGCCAAAAAGGT